AACTTGGACATCCAAATTCCGGTTTTTAATGCTCTCGAGATCGTTCCTCCTTCAAAACCTTCCGCCTTCGGTGCCATCACGTAGATGGAGTATGGCAGCTGTTTTTTCGTAGAAGCCAAAAGTCTTTGCCAGGTCTCGCACTTTTTTACTGAAGATTTTTTCGTAAACTGCAGCTTTTTCGTCGCGAAGTGAGTTCATCATGTTGCTGTTTTTCTTTCTTTCCGAGCCAATGCATAGCTTGATTTTTGATTTTTGTTTGCGAAAACCTGTGACCATGCGTGCTGGATTCACCTCCTTCAGGAAGTGACGTTCACGTGTTCCGAGAATTCCGGTCAGTCATCGTTCAAAAGAAAAATTCATGTGAAAGAAAAAGCGCATGGCGACGAGTAGGCGCTTTTATGCTTCTAGATTTCTTTTTTCGAGTGAATGCCTGTACCTTTGGATGTTCGTAGGCAGCCGAGTGGGGTGAAATCTGAAAAAAATCTAAATCTGTGCGACATTGATAATGCAACAACCTAATATATCATTTTGAACAGGATTACTTTCGCACACGCATGACCGATATCCCATTTTAACCCTGCTCCATAAAGATTCGCTACGGTGCTAGTGGGAAGAGGGTAAGACACGCCCGAAAGGCAAGGCGTTGATCACACAAATCCTGGGCGTGATGTCAGACTTTGTGAATCGCGCGATTCGTTAGCGTCCGCGGTCGCGTTGCGGTACCAGCCAATTGAGTGATTCACTGGCCCCGACGCGACCGCAGACGCTAGCGAATCGCGCGCTTCGCAAAGTTTGACATCGTGGCAAGTATTTAGAATCACCTATTCTACGAGTTCAGTGTTGTTCCGAAAAGTGATCCGATAACATTAACCAGGGAAGGTCACCAAGTCGGTTCGGCCATTAGCAGAGGCCATTAAGCAGGAGCTCGAGGCGGTGCAGCGGTGGACTAGAAAAGTGACGGGCGCTTGAGCTCAAAACTGGCCTTCGCTACCTGCCTAAACGGTTCCTGGAAGATATCATAAGCTAAGAAAAGCGCAGCGGCTAGTGCCCCGGTCTCCGGCAAGCAAAAAGGGGAGGTGTTGGGAACGCTTTTTAGAGGAGCCTGCTTTTTTGTTTTTCAATGTCAATTAGGCAGAAAAACTTCCAAATTCGTTTGTTTATCAACACTTACCATAGTTGCCTGTATGAAAGGTTTGCGAGTAGTTCCCAGGAGCTTTTGCCTGCGAGACAGGATCACTACCGCAGCGCTTCCTTTGCGCTTTGTAAATCCGTTCAAAAAATTGTTTAGAAGATCGGGAAGACAAAATCGAGCTTAGTGTTTCGAGGCGAGTGCAAGGGTATAAAGTCCATTACAAATGGCGACGGCCTGATGACCTTGCCTGTAAGCAACACGCTTCTTAAAGCGAGAGATTACGATAAAGTGCGTATGCAGCGTGGAAGTACATGCACCATTGGAAGCAGTAGTCAGGGGCCCAAGGAAACGAAATGTTGCGTTTTTGTGGTCAAAGGTGCGCTAGTTGCAGCGTACAAGGCTTGCCATTCCTTTCTGAGCCCCGCCACGGTCTGTGCTCCGCCCCCAGCAGCAGCGCCCTTCGATTGCCAATGTGACGAGATATTCCACTTCCAGAGTGTATCCTATAACTTTTCATGGGATGCGTGATCAATCAAAGCATGATGCTTGCTGAAATGATAGAGGCTATCAGCATAACATGTGCAAACGACCTCCTAATTGGTTGCTAGCTCGTCCATTATCGGAGGTCAACGGGCAAAGAAAGGGTCCCATTTTGCGCCTTCTTGACGGATTTCTTTGCTTTTTTCGCCACTGGGGCATTATTCAGCATCTCCACTTCCACTATGAACCCAGTCCAAACTTATCGTAATCCCTCGCTTTAAGGAGATGTGGAGTGGCCAAAAGTGAGACTTGCCGCGGCATGACACATGTCAGCAAACTTCAACTCACCTAGGTTGTCGTGGTCAATAGAGTTCTTTCAGCATAATATTCCTGAAAAGTTCCTCCTTTCGCAAATGCAATCCCCTGTCCCCTGCCCTCATTGGCTTCAAAATATGTCGTCGGTGCCATCTCCGTCGAGCACGAAGAGGTCTTCCGTAACTGCTCCAGCCTGAAGTAGCTGCACGATTTCTTCGATCGGTTGATCGATGGATAGCTTTCAAGAGACAGAAGCTCTGACAATGCAACTCCTCTTCTGAGCAGGGTGTGGATTGGAATATGCTCTTCGACTCCCCCGGGAGCATTTATTTCGAATTTAGCAAATTGTGATCGATGCCATTTTAAATGCAATGTGAAGGTCTCCTTTTTTGTCACTCCAGGAATTCCAAACACCTCTTGCACCTCCGACCTCAGCATTCTGGCTACCTTGTGACATTAGACTTATTCTCACTGGCGTTGAAGCTAATTTTAGTTATTATCCATGTAAGTTCGTTCCATAGCAAGACAGATGCTCTTAAATAAATGAAAATATTAAAAGAAATGAAATGAAAAAAATGAAAATAGTAATAAATGCATTCAATAGCTGAATTGTTATCGCTATTATTTCACTAACCTATCGACTGTCTGGAACCGTTGTGGAATTGGATGCTGAGAAGCAGAAAATTCGCGCATTTTGCATGTTATCGAGATTTCTTATGTTAGTACAGGGGGGGGCCAAAAAAAGAGTCACTTTGCCCATGGCGCACATCATCAAATTTTTCGTCGCACAGGATGCCGTTGTTGATGAATGTTTACGGCAGAATATTCCTTAGGTGTCCCCCAAAAGCAGAAGCAGGCCCTCCTTCACTGCCCCCACCGTCTTCAGAATATGACGTCATCTGCCGTCACCGTCGAGCTCAACGAGGCTTACCGTAATCGCTCCGGCCTGAAGCTGCTACATAATTTCTTCAATCGATTAACTGGTGAATAGCTTCCCAGAGACACTAGCTGTGACTGTGCAAACCGCTTTTGACCAGCGTTTCAGGGACGTCGTAATGGTCTATGGTACCTCGACGACCTCGTTGAGCTCGTACCGTGAACCATGTTTCCGTGGGAAAATCTTCTGATGTCGTCGGTGTAGAAGGCTGTCATGTAATTTTGATAGATTAGAATGTGCTCTTTAACAATTGGCTCATTTGATTTGTAATTCGCAGCACGAACGAATCACACACCCGAGTTCTAAGCTTGAATTTTTTTGCCCCCCCCCTGTAGAGTGAGTGGGTCAACGGAATAGATTGTAACACTCTGCGGAATTCGTCCGAAAACATTACAAGGTTTCAGCACTGATCTCAGCCGCCATGAAAGGATGAAGCACGTTTGTACCGGTCTCCTTGAGTGTCCCTCCCCTAGATCGTGGAAGTGTTATATTTATAATGAATGACCCTCATACAGACGAGGTGATGCCAAAACCAATCACCACTTCACACATCTCGGTCTCAAAAACCAACCGCATGCGGCTGATTAGAAATTCGCATAATATCAATTGCAATTACGTCCCAATATGTATTGTTCGAGTGAAAGACATACTCGCCGATCCAAAACAAGGGAAGTGTCCATCGTCTAGACACTTATGATTGCACGGCGAAGTCAATTCCCACCTTCCTCGGCAAACAATACTATGTTCCAGGTTGATCCCTCCGCTCACGACCATTCACTTCCTAGCGGTCAAAGCCCTGCTCGTGACATACGGTTGGCCCTTGACCCAATCCTTATTTAAGGAGCACACTTACTGGTTTTTGTTTTCGAGATGTGTAGGAAATTTCAAGAATATTTGAATTGATAAATCTCATATTTATGTTTCCAAGAATCCTCCCAGAAAAAAGGCCACGGAAGACTTTTGTAGCACAAATGCTCCACTAACAGCTTGTTTAGGTCTAAATTTCAGTCATCACAAGATATGGACTTAGGGTTCTACCCTTCACTCGAGTTTCGACATAGCACTATGCAACAGTAATATATGGCCCTACATTTGTGACCATTTGCGAAAGGCCATTTCCACTTTTGGAACCACCCCGCATTCTCAATTATTTCCCTAGGAGGCGCTCAACCAAATGAATTTCCCCTTTATGAGGAAAGTCGCTCATGCACTAATAAGAATCTCCCTGCATCAACCTGACACCGCTGCCGGGCGTGCGCCCCACCAATAACGCTGCGACTGTTATCAGTACTAACGCTACAGCCCAGCGACGTACCACTCTTGTCCGTGAACAGGCTACCAATAAGAGCACCAAGACAGAACAAATAACACCACAACCACATCTGCCCTCTGTAGATAGACCTTTGAGGACTGTCACAGTGTGAATATCGTGGCACCGACTCACCCACCTAAAGCTAAGCCCCCTCACCACCTAACACCACCAGCACTTTAGAGAGCACTGTGTCGTGGTGCCCTCTCCATCCGTTGCGCTCTTCCTCGTCCTCCTCCTACGCCAGTCCTCATTCCTTCAGCCAGGATATACGAACGTGACTATGCCCTTATCCTGAGCATTATTGCCCGAATTTTTCCGTTCTCGGCTCTTGCGGCCCATTTCGCACTAATAAGTCATCGTATTCTAAGCGGCTGACAACCACCCATTGATTCTGAGGCATGCTTTTACCCAAAGCAATCACATGCAATCACACGCTACTTGCCCATTGCCGAAGTTGCACTAGGCTGATCCATATATCTTAATCGTCTATTATATGTCAACTAAGTCCAACGCTCTGAGAAGATTCATGCATTTTGGAATGTAAAATATTTCCTTTAGGTGAGAGAAGTGTACACTTGGACTGCGTTGTTGAAAAAATCAAACGGAACGATTCTCATGATCTCGTGTGTGGGACATGGCGCACCACCATTCAGCCCCCCAGCTCTAACGAATAGCTCTATCCTGCCTTTTTGAAATAGGGAATCTGGTTCATTTCAGTCTTCGTAGACTAAACTTGTGTAATTTGTACGTTATACATCGGTGCCTGGTGCTTCAAAGTGATTTCAAAAATATGGAACAATTTCAGGCAAAACGCCGCCGCTGACATGTCATCTTCAGTTCAGCAGATTCAACAGCAACAGTCCGCCGGATCAGTAGCTGGTGCAGGACCAGATGAGGTTAACTTTGGTGCTTGTATTTCTATTTGAGTCAATTTCGTATCTAATTTTTGTCGGTGATCTCGAACGTGATTATGCGGTACTGAATGAAAACGTGGTGGGGAGTGAGTGAAAACAGCAAAGGGCTTCATATGGGATAACAGATCAGGACGCTTGTACAGGTCGATGCAAAAGTCGGGCTCAGTCTCACTGAGAGGTCCCTCTCGGAAGGTGGTGGTGCTAACTTCGCAACTGTAGAGGTCGCAACAACTTAGTACATCGAAACGCCTCACTAAGGCGCCTAGCGCCTATGATTCCAATCCAACATTGCCTAGTCGAGCGACACCCGCCCACCGTTCGATATCTTCCCTGCGTCGTATCGGTTGGTCAGCTGTGCCTTCTCGACCTGTAGTTCTCTCACCCTCTTCGCAACTAACACAATCTCTTGAATCGACGTCTGCCTCCTGAACTTCTCCGCAGCCGTTTGTATTTTCTATGTTTTTGACGACATTTAGTTTTTTCTCCATTTGCAGTCTATCTCGCATCCCTACTTTCGTATTCGAGTGCAAGTGCCATATTAAATTGATCCTGACTCCTGCCTTTAAGTCAGTGCACGAAAAATAACAGCTTCAGTGCGCGCCGCGAGCCCAGAAAGCTATTTTCTCATCACCAGCATGAGAATCGGCAAAGACAGCACACACTGTGAGAGAGCTTTTGTTTTATGAATGCACAGGAGTAAAAAAGAGTGACTTCAAATCACATGCAGTGTGAGTGTACCGTGCGCGAACCACCGCAGATGCGCGCGTTGCCGCGCCGTGACTACACATACCGCAGATTGGGTCCTGGATAAGGTTGAAAAATCACGGAAATGAGGCAATTAAGAGATTACGGAAGATCATAGAAATTGCAGCTCTATTCAACTCTGCATAGGGACAAATTGGACCATGAGGGTCGGCTTACCTCACTGAAAAACTCCTCAAGAAACTAACCATTACTGCAATGATCGCCCCTTTTGGCACCCCTAAACGTCTCTGACAAGCTAGGCGCTTAGTGCTTGGATCTTTCGGCGCCCAGAAGGATCCGTGTCCATCTATCATCAGATATCTCATCTGTGTCGTGATACTGACCTGCAGTACCCTCTCCGCCACTCACCTTATCTCTTACCTTGCTGGCTTTTTCTTGAACTTATCCACAGCGTAGAGCTCAGAGGTTCGCATTCTCTGCGTTTTTGACGATTTCTCTTCTTGTTCACCAGCGGTTCACATCGCAACCGTACACATTCATCCACATTTGAGTATGATTATCACAACGATTTGACCCTGCCTTGGAGATTTGCTGAAATAAGACTTTCTCTTATAATCCATCCCCAATGCACAAAGTTTACTTTAAAGAACAAATTTTGCATTTTAGGTTTATCAACACGGGACAATAGGAACGTTTCTAAGGCAGGAGTTGGAAGGTAACGGAATTTTTAAGTTTAGTTTTTTCCTACTAGGGGATTTGAAGTAAATATTCACAAAATAAAGATTATGAAAGCCTTATCTTAACTGAGGTCCCTAATGAGGCCAGAAGAAGATCTATACTCGTTGCCACAACAAGTTATTTTAGGTGGATTTTCGAGCTTCATTCGATGTGTCTATAAAGCGAAACGAGTCAACAACAACACTGTAACTTTGGTGTACGTTTCTGATTTACTCTTTAGAAAATTGAGCGCAACTGTAGAAAGGCCTCCGGGACTAGGCATCAAGGACGAACTCCAGAGAATACGAAAATTACGTCCGCATACCGGAGTCTCTCCCTTCTTCAGAAGCTTAGCCGCCAAGCTGGAGCGTTTCGGTGATCTGACCTATTGTTACGTACGGATGATTCCCCGCACTCCCCCCCCCCCCCAAGGCTCACAGTCACAGCCAGCCGCCTCCAAATTTTCTTCCAGCGGAATAATATAGAGGTTTGCCATGAGTTTGCGGCACGAAAGCAGGGAGTTGAGCAATGACGGACAAATGGCTAAAGCAATCTTTTGTAGAGTGATGCTTGGCCAGGTTACCGTTGGCCACAACTTGCTAAATTGCCACAAATTGTGCTCGCAGCAACATAATGGAATTTAATAACTTTCATCACTTTCAAAGTTTCATTCTGATGGCTTTTCATGATTATTTAGATTCTTGCAAGAATTCATAATGTTAGTTCGTCTTTAGCGGTATGGTCGGAAATATTCTTATTTTCGCTTATTTACTTTGGTTTGCAATAAGCTTTTAGATGCGAACGTGACCAAGGCTGCTGCGAACACGGCTGTTGCCCAAAGGATCAACACTGGTAAGCTGTTGCGGTCCACACTATGAAAAGGAAACCATTTGAAGACGTTTATGACGTTGATTCGAGAAGGCAGGTGTCTGTAAATGTAGATAAACTCCAGGATGGCCGGCGTTTACGTCCTTTTGGCATTTGTACTACTGGTATTCGTCGTCGGTACAGTACTGATGATTGTGTGCTATCAGCGATCGAAAAACAAGCAACGAAAAGAACTACGAGAAGCTACCGAATATAATGGTTATGCCGGCTCACAGGTGGGTCATGGTTCTCTGAACTTGGTTAGATTGATGAAAAACTTAACCCTTGTAATTTATTAGCTCACTTATTATTTCTATATCAAAAGCCTTTTTCTTATCAGCTTTACCTCTGTGCTCTCTCCTCGTATTGTTTAGACTAGTTTTCCATGAATACACATCGGAAACGCAAAATGCACCGCCAGCGGCCAGAAGTTCGAGCATCCATCATCAAATAGTCAAAGCTCGGGCTAAAAGTGCACACCACTTTAGTTCCCCACCGAGTTTTCGTGAGAAATCAGTAGACTTAGCTGTGATCGATTCCTGGCTGCGATGCATTGGGAGAACTGACTGAATTTTGCAGGGATACCGCTTCTCGTAGGAATCTAACAAACTGAGCTTTCCTGTTCTTGATGATCGGAGGGTCACTGGACGCAATTTAGTCCTTCAACTACCTCAAACGTCCACACAAAGTCAAACGTTACCTGTGGACTCAAATTTAGAATAATATCTATGGCACTATATAATATAATAAAAATTAAATAAACAACAAAAATACGATACAATCCGTTAAGGCAGAGATTCAGCCTTCAACTGTCAGTTAAAAAATTCAAAAAATTCCTAACAACAGGGTCTCAATTCTCTCCCACTCGTTTTCATTCGATGGTCGTTTTACGGTATTGGCCATAGAAAGCGCGATTCGCGTTTTCCTCTTTTCTTTGTTGTTATGAAAAGGTTGTCCAGTTTCCAAATCTTAAGACGCCATAAAGCTTAGCGCTGTCAATCAATGAAAATTTGGTTCAAAAATCGTGGTGTTCCTAGGGACTGCGGGTGAAAATTCTCAAAAGAAATCTATCCATGTTTAATTCCACAATTTATAAAAGCGACATGTGCATCATATATGTGGATAAGGAAACGCTATAAAGTCAAGATGAAAAGCATTACAAACTAAGGAAAGTGACTTGATCTTTGCACCAGTATAGAAAAAGCAGGCTTCAGCAATCAACTTGATTAGCAACCAGAATATCTTTGGATATATGGCAAATAGACTCACGTTGTACTTATTCATTGCCGCAACATCGCGGCCCCGCCTATGGGCGCGGCAATGCCGGTTCTATTGACACGGACACCTACTGATACTGCTGAAAACTTACCCAAGATTCCCCCATTTGAATACAGGGCGAAGGGGTGTTGAGAGCAGGGACTACACGTTCAGTCATTCAGCGCTTTAAAATGAAATAGCGATCCTGGAATCAGAAAGTTTATTCAATTATTCTCACAATGTAGTGGATGAAGCTGACCTATCTTTCTGTAGAAAGGTGGGGGGAGGGGGGTTCTTAAGCATCGCTAAACATACGATAAGAATAAGTCTTATGTATGCATCGCATACAAACAACAACTTCTCGGGAAGAAGTTTGATTGCATGGCGCAACCCAAGATGAAGCTCTTACAATAATTGGTAGCACCTTCTTATGCATCTCAAGCAGCTAACTTTACACTTGCGGTCAAGTGTTTGTCGAAACGATTTTCGTGCATTATGTTTTCTCTCTGAGCAAAACACTCCAAAAATTAATATGCTATGTTTTCTAATGGTTTTGCTAATGGTTTTATTTATTATGATCCCATTACGAGAGTTCCCGGGGTCCCTGAAGCGGAGATCCGCCAGATATTCAGCCCGAAAAGAGCCCCTCGAGACCTAATACCCTTCATTTTTGTTATGAGTCGAAATCGTTTGCTAGCTATTCCCGAAATGTCACAATATTCTTTCACACGTCAGCACTGGTCATAAATGTCTTATTTACCGTTGTTCGGCTAAGTACTTTTTGACCGTACTTGAATTGCATTTTTTAGTACTAGCAAACGATCGACTCTATAACAGAAAATGAAGAAAGCGAAGCCCTTGCAATTTTCGGAAGTTTCAACGCAAGTACCGTAGATTCACTTCAAATAGAAACCAAAGGAAGCTTGACGCCCTGTTGTGTGGACTTTTTACTAGCTTGACAACTGAACACTGGTTCTCTGTCCTTGAGCCATATTTTTGTTTCTTTTTGAAGTTTACGGCTAGCTACGTGGGACGTTTTCAATGAACACTTTAGTCCTGCTAGTGAACTGCCACACATGTGTTATTTACATTACCAAAGAATTATTTTGAGCCATGAGCTTTCCCATATTAAACACTCAAGCACAACCTAAATCTTTGGTTCCAAACCACTTGACGCTTCCCGTTAGACGGGGAATAAGAGATAGTAAGGATATCATCTTCAGCCTGGTGGAGTCGGCGCTACTCGTCATATGGTGGACCTACCTACTGATGTTACCTCCACGCCAACACATCAGCTGCTATCATAACCATCCAGATCACACCACTTCGAGCGAGGACGGTTTCTTTTTAAATCACATGTGATGTACATATCGATTCGAATTTGTAATATTTTTTGCTCAATACAGCAAATGTTGTCCATTGCCGATAAAAAGTTCGATATCTCGTTACATAGGCAACTTATTATGTTTTTCTTGACATCCGGAGAACGCGTATCTTTTTTGTTAAATTAGCGTTTGTGTTCTGCAACGTTTCCTCTCGAGGGAGAAATGAATGGATGCGCACAGCATAGGTAGAATGAAAGGAAAATGAAAAATTGAAGGAGCATCAGGAAAATGGATTGAAATCCCAAAGCAGAGCTCGTCACTATGTCTTAAAAAGGCTAAACCCAGTTCTTCCATGGACAGTTCTCGTTCTCTGCGGGGAAAGGTGAACACAGCCCCTAGCGCACAACGACGCTATAATGTTGGCTATTTCACTGGCCAATTTCGAACGTGACATCTTCCCTTCGGTCCTTTTGTACTTGCTGAATGTGATTTGGAGCTTAACACCGATAGTGCCAACAGAAAGATAAATAAACCCGAAACGCAATCAGGAATTGCTCAAGTTGGTCACTAGCAAAGCCTCCACAGGGAATTTGCTATGAAATATACACTTCAACCAAAAGAACGACGGCAATGAAAGTTAAAAATACTAGTGCTGACAACACTTCTGATTGCTCCACTAATCTGACTTGTTACTCAACTTCGAGCTACATTTTTCCTTTCCACGGTACATCATTTATTCGGAATATAGAAGAACCGGATCCTAGACCCACGAGCTTGTGAGGTCCTTGCTGACGTCATACTTCATGAGTCAAGCATCACTAATCACCATTACCTCGCACGCCGCAGAGTGAATGTATTGTCGAATCGGCTAGTACCTATAATTACTCTGTCTTCAAAGGCAGCGATTACGATAGATACTGGGGGACGTTTGGTGTCTCAATAGTACGCCAATGGCGAAAAAAGCAAAGAAATCCGTCAAAAATAAGCAAAATAGTACCCCTTTAATTGCCCGTTCATTTTCGACCATGGATGAGCGGCGACAAAGAAAGACGTTGTTCGGACGTGTTAACCCCGATAGCCGCCATCATGCCAACAAGCATAGTGTTTTTTGATAAGGCATACATGGCAAGTTGGAAGATACAGCCGCTAAAGGGAAATGATCTTCCAAAATGAAAAGCCAACAGCAAACAGCTCGCACCAACTGAACTAGTGGGCGTAACGCTTTCGGGCGGAGTGCTTCGGAAGTCCTGCTCAGCAACCACAGCACCTTTCGTCGTGAAAGCGCCACACCTCGCTTCCTTGGCAGCCAAGTAACTGCTTCGTGTGGCGCATATACTCCCCGATGCGACCCTCTCTTATCGTAATCGCTTCCTTCAACGGTAGATTTCAAGGTAATCCACAGTAATCAGGATCTAAAAGTTAAAGGAATCCTTCGCGGAAAATTCTTGCATTCTTTCTTGACATGAATGTGTCAGTTGTGATCACTGGAAACAGCACACAAAGTTTCACGCATGAAGATTCGGTTTCCGAAGAGAAACAAACGTACAAAAAAAGCTACACTCTATGGACAATCGAAGGTAATTCGGGCGGAGAGAAATAACGAGGCATGGAAAGATTAGAATAAGGATGGAAGTAGATAGTGCCAAGGATGTGAATCATAAGGCAGAAAGGCCAGAAAACAGTAGGAAGGTACAAGATATCATGTGAAGCATCCCTGTCGCCAGTATTTGTGAAAGACGTCGTGGGCACTGTCGAACGCGTAGCAGCCCTTTCGATTTTTCGAATTTTTACCATAAACGAAAGGAATATTTCTATTCTTTTCATTCTTATCGTGGACAATAAGTCTCAGGCCAGTGATTTATGGCTAAAATAAAGAATCATGATTTTTTTGTGGAGATTTCCTTCAAAACTAGCCGGTTCGTCTGCCATGGAATTTGATATCCCTCCTGGACGAATCCTTTGGGAGAATCGCTGAATGCCATAACTGGAGCCGTCTAAAGCTTGCACCATAATCTGTGAGATTGCATGAATGTGCAACACCAGAAATTTGAATGGACCACTGTACAACCATGCGCACACAGATAAGAATTGGAAACGTCTGGCGCTGAGCGACCGATTACCCTCAATACAGAAGCAGTGTATGGGTGCCCTCCCCAGACCTTATACGCAGATTCGACTGTCAATTTGTGCATCAGCAATGAGAAACCAAAAAAAGCTTACAAACCTTGCAAACATTGGAAAACATGCCACTTTACTTCCCCTTTAGCTACACTTGAACATGTGAAAATGCCAATTGTTCGGAAATGACACATTAAGATCAATATGGAGGAACACAACAATGATGAGTTGAAGAAAAAACGAGGTCCCCTCGTTGAGTATCGGAGATGAAAAGTCCTGAGAAATACATTATCCTATGCCCTGAGTGGATTACCATTTACCTTAACATGAAGACAGCGAATCTGTTTTGGACAAATCATCGTAATATAACAAGTGACATAGGCTTGATAATATCCAAAAGGCCAACAGCCGCCTTTATAAGTCCATATTTCCTGTTATAATCTGGAATGCGGGGCACAGAATGTGTTTCAATACTGAGCGAACGATGTACAGGATTTAAACGTTGGCTACTATTGCGGAGCATATGGTGATGACAACAAAAAGTCAAGCCGGATCTGTTATAACAGGAGTGAGGCGGAACTGTAGAAAGTGTAAAGGCAATTTTTAGCTTAACACAGACTATTAAACGAATAAAGAGGCAACTCGGATGGCATAATGCGTTGCTTCATCAGAGTCGGATGGGTGGAGAAGAAACGTTCCTTGATGATAAATTGTAGTTATGGTGGACACGATCAAGCCGGAAAAAAACAAAAACGTAATCGGACAGAAACTGCGTGCTTGGCAAGGTCGTATCGCGTTCAAACTCAGAGAAGATGGTCGACTTTCTGCCTTTGTGTGAAAGACGCTCTTAAAGTATATATAATTTAACAAAATATATGTAATTAATATGTATATTGTATGTATATGATAATGTTTAGGATGCAAAGCTTTATACGATGACGTGATTGAAGTTTTCTCGCACGGCAAACACAGACGGGCAATGTTTTTGATACTTTTGGCTGCGTGATGCTTGGTAGAAAGGGCTGACAGGCTTCTAAATAAGTGTTTTTGGTGCCAAAGGGATTTCCTGGGGTGGCAGAATGCATGCCATAATTGTCGGGTATGCTGGGGCGCGGAGTGTTAGTGTGTCTAGGGTTCAGGATAGCAGGCGCGAGCCGACCGCTCGGCTCCGACACACGAGGTAAGAATGAATATAAGTGAGTCGGCGGCCGCCTTATATAGCACTCAGTGAAGGGGTCTCACAACGAATGTGCGAAAACGATATATAACTATGAAGCATTTTCGAAAAGAGATCGATTACAGTGAAGATCGAGCATCACAATGAGATTACTCTGTCAGAGAGATAATGTGGCAGGAAGGAACGTAAGTGTTTAGACAGTGATGAAATACAACTTAAAGGGCAAAATCCGGAATTACACTCATGACTTCCCTGTTCATATGCGAAGCAGTGGGTGGTAGTTGGTTCAATGTAGAAAAAGGAAGCATGGAAAACCGCGAAATAGGCCCAAAATAGGACCCCCATCTTCTTCAGTTGATTTCAAGCCACGGCTGGGGGTGTGACATCACCGGACGAGTTTGTATGCTACAAAATGAAATGTCTAAAGATCCGAAGCAAACGTAGCAATTTTTTTATAAATGTAGCATAAATTTGAATGATGAATGATGGAGATGAAAGCGAACAGAAAGATGAATGAAGCAGACTACAACTAAAAAAGAGATCCTATTGCCAAGAACTTCGTATAATAATAATATATTGACTTGATCGCTTATCGCCCTACGAACACTCCAAGTACAAAGTGTTCGGCGTTCTCTGTGGGACCGGACCTTTTCCCCCGTGTCGCTGTGATGGTGGGAGGAGCGTGTCGCAGTAGGAGGAGCGTGTCAAAGTCCTTGGCGTCTAGCGCCTTTAGTGACACATTTCGATGCAGGGGGCGAGTGTAGTGAGTGTTCCGCGATTGCGTTCTAGGCGCACTATCCATTATGAAGGCTATATAGACTGAGGTATGCACTTCTAGCCATTATAAGGGCTTATTAGGTGGGTCTGAGCCCGAACTTTGCCTTTAAACAAGTTAACTGCGTCTACATGCCCGTCTTCCACGAAGAGTCGTCCCGACTCTTAATGCTTCCTTGCGGGATCCGGTCCGGCGTGGGGAGTAAGATCTGCGACGTATCTTCTCGACTGGCGAATGGTGCTCTCTTGAAGAACTGGGGCGATCCTTGTCCAACGGCCTACGAAATTGAAAGCGAACGATGGTGGCGGACGCGGTGTGGGTCCTCAATGACATAGAAGTTCGGCATTCTTTCTTCTCGGCGGCGTCGTCGTTTGGCGATTTTCTTCCTGGCGGCGGCGGTCTCTGAGTTCCGGAGATGCCATTTCAAATTCGTCCATCTTGATCAAGTCGTTGACCGTAAGGCGCAGCTTGTCCAGAAACAGTCTTATCTGGTAACCACCGAACTGGCACTTGGCGCGACGCGGGTGCGTACCCAGACATCCGGCAGGGTGGGTGTACGGCGCTCCTTCTAGGACATCACTATAGTGATCTCTCACGATAGCTTCGAATACACGTTGTGGAGCTGTCATGTAGCGCACATACTCAGCGCATACTCTTCCCATGTGCGTCCACTCTGCATTATTATCATCTTCGTACGGACTCGGAAAGAAGGCTAGCGAGCCTCCGGGCTGCAAATGACGTTCGAGTGCGATGAGGACTTGGCGCATCTGACGACTTTCTGGTGTCGTGTCTGGCCACACAATGATAATGGACGTGACGATCGGCATAGAGATCAACTTATGGGCGAGCGCACTCCAGTCTGCATACACGTACGGCGTAATGTTATCCGCGTAATCAACGTCGGCATTCACT